AAAAAGTATGCTCTTTCCTTTGCCATGGTCGGAAGTTCGAAAATCGGCTTAGAAATATCAATTTTTTTCAATTTATATTTGAAAAAACCGTGAAAATTCGCTATCGAACGATACTCAAATTTTGTCTATATTCTTCATAAAATTTTAACTATTTAGAAATGATCTCTAAAGAATATGCCATTATATAGAAAAAAGTATGCTCTTTCCTTTGCCATGGTCGGAAGTTCGAAAATCGGCTTAGAAATATCAATTTTTTTCAATTTATAATTGAAAAAACCGTGAAAATTCGCTATCGAACGATACTCAAATTTTGTCTATTTTCTTCATAAATTTTAACTATTTAGAAAAGTTATTTAAAGAATATACCATTATATAGAAAAAAGTATGCTCTTTCCTTTGCCATGGTCGGAAGTTCGAAAATCGGCTTAGAAATATCACTTTTTTTCAATTTATAATTGAAAAAACCGTGAAAATTCGCTATCGAACGATACTCAAATTTTGTCTATATTCTTCATAAAATTTTAACTATTTAGAAATGATCTCTAAAGAATATGCCATTATATAGAAAAAAGTATGCTCTTTCGTTTGGAATGGACAGATGTTCGAAAATCGGCTTAGAAATATCACTTTTTTTCAATTTATAATTGAAAAATCCGTAAAAATTCGCTATCGAACGATACTCAAATTTTGTCTATATTCTTCATAAAATTTTAACTATTTAGAAATGATCATTAAAGAATATGCCATTATATAGAAAAAAGCATGCTCTTTCGTTTGGAATAATCAGATGTTCGAAAATCGGCTTAGAAATACCACTTTTTTCAATTTAAAATTGAAAAAACCGTAAAAATTCGCTATCGAACGATACTCAAATTTTGTCTATATTCTTCATAAAATTTTAACTATTTAGAAATGATCTCTAAAGAATATGCCATTATATAGAAAAAAGTATGCTCTTTCGTTTGGAATAGACCGATGTTCGAAATTCGGCTTAGAAGTATCACTTTTTTTCAATTTAGTATTGAAAAAACCGTGAAAATTCGCTAACGAACGATACTAAAATTTTGTCTATATTCCTCATAAAATTTTAACTATTTAGAAAAAATCTCTAAAGAATATGCCATTATATAGAAAA